AAGAAACGCAAAACAATCGAGAAAAGAATATTCTTTTCGATAAATTCTTCTTCCGGCTTTACAATGATATATATATATATACACAAAATATTCAAGATTGGTAGTTAATAACAATATTAGTGTTTTTAAATAATATCGATTCGTAAAGTATGATCAATGCAATTACAGTTCATTAAAGATGCTTAAATTATAACGATAATAAAGCTATAATAGCAAATAGAGTATCAACTAAAATTAGGAAAATTCCACAAAAATTCAGGATTATTCAAATTTGGATGGCCAAAATAATGATAATGTCTGAACTGACTTCTTTTGGATGCTGTAGTCAAATATAATATAATATAAATAAATAAGGCTTGTTAATATGGTTTCCAACAGCCAGCCTCAGCAATATTTAGTAGTCGAACTCTTAGGCGAAATTGAGATTCGTAGGTATGCGGTAAATGACCCTGAAAGCATGGTTAGCATCAATCTTGTGTTCTGTATCCGCAAGATGAGATAGAATGGCGCTGTGAATAGATTTTGTTTGTCCTTTTGCTTAACCACGCAGAGTGATGTTCGGAAATTCGACGACAAACACGCCTAATTGTACGGCCTATATAACTGGCTCACTCCGCAGGAGCAGTTAAATTGGTAGATACACATGGAAGAGGCAAAATTAGGCAGTTTGTCTTTTATTCCCGAACGCAGAAGAGGAGGGGTTTTAAAGATACAGAATAATTCAGCAGCACGGAATGCTATTTTTACCGCATTTCTAAGGCGCTGTGTTAGTATCTCGCTGGTGTTGTCTCCAAGGATTTGCATCTGTAAGAATAAGGCCGTTTTGGAACTGTTGGTAACTTGGGCTGTTTTGGTTTCAGATTCAGATTCTTATCAATAAACTTTTCAGGATAACCATTTTCACTTAGCAACCGTTTAATATTGTTAAATCCCCCGCCAAGACATTCGTCCAAGCAAATCTCTCTAGCTCTGTGAACCAAGCACTTTATTAGATTGCGTTTGCATTTCAAGGGCACAAAGCTGAGAAAATGTATGTACTGGCCCGTTGATGTAGGTTTTCTATAAACACTTCTTCTTATTGTGCCGTCCTCTTTTCTTGTCAAGAGGACGTCTAAAAATGGAATACTAGATTCTTTTTCTGTCTCGATGGTAAAATTTATTTCAGGATGTACCTCATTAAATTTATCCAGGATGTTCTTTGCTTCCTTCTCGTTCTCTATAATCAAAAAAGTATCATCCATGTACCGACAATAAAATTCGAGTTCATTAATAACATCCTTCAAAGGCCCCCTTTCTAGTTTCGCAAGGAAAATGTCGGCTAGAATCGGTCCTAGTGGTGACCCCATTGCTACACCGTCGATTTGTCTACATAGTTTCTTATTAAATAAAAAGTGGACATTCATTGTACATTTCAAGAGAAGCTCTTTCATAAAAGATATAGGAATGCCGACATCGATGTTTCGTCGTTTAAGTTCTTCGCATACAAAATCCACTGTTTCCATGAGTAGTACATTGATGAATAAGGAAGATACATCAAATGATATCATGAATTTATTATCAACATTTAAATCTCTTATCCTTTCAACAAATCCAAAAGTATCCTTTACACTGTGTTTCACCAACTCGGTATGAAAAGGCTGTAAGAGTTCGACTAAACATTTGGCTACGGGATGGTATGGTGAATTCAGCCTATCTAATACTGGTCGCAGCGGTACACCATTTTTGTGTGTGTGTGTGTGTGTCCGAAAGTAACATGATAGAGATCATATGAAAAGGAGGATGGAGAGTATGGACAATAGTGGCGCCAGCTGAAAATGACTGCAGCGACGTGTTGTTGAAGCACTGTGTTCCACTCGGGATCCAAGGGGATAATAATAATTGAGAACAGAAATTGTTTTTATGCGATGTTTTTCTTGATAATACAATTTATTAGTGATATATATATATATATACATATATATATAACTCTTCATGACAGAATGTTCTATTGGAGGAGTATATGTTGTAGAATAACACTTTTCCTACCAGAGAAGTTTCTGAAAACCATAAATAAATATTTTCTGCGAAAGAATTTGCGATGAAAATAGAGGATTTCGTAATTCAGGATCTGGCTAAAATTTTTCTGCAGAAGTTTGCAGACTTCAATACTTGGCTCTTTCCTCCTAGTTTAGGGCTTTTCAGCAGTACACACCCATGAATCTGCCAGCGAATGAATCGAGGACGTTTATCCTTTAGACTTTGGGTCGGAATGTAGTACTTTATGAATTCAAGCTTTTTCATTTAGCGCTGCTCAATTTCATCTATAAGTAACTGTCCATCTATCCAACTTGGTAGAATCCCTCCACCACTTATGAATTTTCAATAAAATTTCAGGGAACCATCTTGGATTTATTCAATTCACTTTGGACTTTCGAGTTGATTGACTGGAGCGAATTACTTTGCCTCCATTGACATGTCGGCACCTTGTGCAGATGCTTCAAAGATGTGTGGGGATTTAACTTGAAGTGACTTGGTGGATGATGACTGGCAGTTAAATTCAGGATGTGCATTTCATCCTATTCGGGACTTGTCATTCGGACGAATCTACATTTCCCAATGAGTGGTGTACTTATTGAGGTTTGAATGAGGCGCTCAAAGCGTTGTCCACTAGACCATTTGAGTTAAAGAGGTCATCTCTTGTGCAATGAGTATTAGGTATTATTTAAACCAATTCGGAATTTCCCATCCTTAATGGGATGAAATGCGCATCCTGGATCCTACTGCTGGTAACCATACACCTAACTACATCTTGGATCTAATTAAAAACCAATAGTAAACTATTATACCGAAATAAGATTTGATGGATTCTATTGGTGTGCCCTACTGAAAAGTAAATAGCTGTTCAGTGTTTCTTTCTTCGTTTTCAATAGCTGTCTGCCTAATTGACATTTGTTTGTAAAGTCTAAGTGGAAAATATTCAGAGCCCTTCAGAAACTTGTCTACTGCAGTTTCTTCTTTCAACAGATTAGCTTGATAATTTAATTTTAGATTTTCCCGTCGATTGATTGGACCGAAGTGCTCGGTCTCAGGTTGACATGCCGGCTTCTTATGCAGATGATTTGACAACGTCTGCTCATGTAATTAGGTACATCCAGATGACGAGTCCCAAATAGGACGAAATGCGCGTTATCTTGCATTCCACTGCTAGTCACCATTCTCGCGATTAAATTCTAATTACATGTCCAGACATCGTCAAAGCATCTGCACAAGAAGCCGACATGTCAACCTGAGACCGGGCAATTTAGTCCAATGTCACGACGGGAAAATCTAAAGCTGAATTAAATAATTAATATGATCCGTTTCAAAAGAGGTGACTCTCGTCGCCCAAGTGGCGTTTGAAACTATGGGAACTGGGTTTGAGCCTCGGTGGGAACATCATCACTCACTGAGAAATGCAGGTATATCCAGCTGGAGGACGAATCCCAAATAGGACGAAATGCGCGTTATCCTGGATTTCACTTCTGGTCACCACCCACTAATTAGATTAGCTCTGATAGATGATTTAGTTCATGCGTTGTGTCTCTTTAATATAAAATTTTATAATCCAGTGAATACCACTGAAGTATTTATGTAGAATATATATATATATTAAAGAATTCAAAATTAACATTATTTCTATAAGCAGAACATCGCTAAATGCACTAAAATGTAAAATTTTGTCTTTACTAATCCTTAAACTTATTCTAAGACAGATTCAATTATGAGATGATAATGAAATCATTTTAGACATTAAGAAATTCTTCAATCAAAAATAATTATCAAAAATAGAAAGAAAAAAAACCCTTCAGCAATTCAACTGCTTTTATATTACTTTTATCATTGAGTAATAATAATGAAATTATCAGCGCATGTATGCATATATATCCATACATATATGCTGCATACGCATATAACAATACGAGAGAGAGAGAATCAAAGTAGAATAATGCTGATGATTTAAAAATCGATAAATTTAAAATTTGCGCGTAATTAATTGTACTTATAATATTTGATAAGTTATAAGTAATTATTGAAAGTATTGAAAGTTGAACGTTATCGCTTTAATATGTCAGTGAGAGTACTGTTATAATTATTATTGTTTTTACTATTAATAATATGGTTAATATATATATTCTTTTGTTCTGCGCTACCAACAATATAACCGTCTTCATTTATACCAATCATTGAAATTACAATGGTTATTATCATCGTCATCTTTCTGATGATATCAGTTGTAGATTGAATCAGTTACGACATTAACTAAAAAAATTGCTCATATGATGAAAATAATTAATCTTTTATCTAGTTCTTTCTACTTTTGGCTTGTGTTAGTGTTCAGGTATATATTATAGGCTAAACAAATAAAAAGACGCTATTGACCTTAAAGCCTAATTAATCAAGATTTCAATCTTATTGGTTAATATGTAAGTGAGTAAATGAGTGTGTGTGTGTGTGTGAGTATGAGGTATACTCAAACCCGTATCAGTGAATTCTTCAATTTATTCTTGATGTTATATAATATTACAAAAATACAAACAGAAAAGCAAATGCCTACATGAGTGATACTGAAGTGAATGTCTGTATGTGTGTGGATGGGTGTGTGTGTGTATATATGAGAGTCTGCTCATATGCAAATGTGCAAGTGTGCAGGTGTAACTACACACGTACACACACACCTATGTATTCGTTTGCTTGTTTGCTTGTCGGCTATACCATTCTAGAGTTTATTATCTTACGTGACTTACATTATATATGCAGTTTATAATATTGCACTTTCATAAAGTTCTACTTTACAAGTAAGAGCTATTGTACTACCACAGTGACAACTACCAATGCCATTATTCATAGAATCAATGATAATCACTTGAATGTACTTTCTTTTTCAAAGGTTTTATATATATATGTTTTGATGTGCTTACTTTTTAACTTTCCTATTTCTACAACTGAAGGAACATTTTGAAAAAGAAACCTTCTCATAAACAATGGAACCATTTGTTCAAGTATTCTTCGCTATCGATAAGGATGGAACTGAGACAATTTCAATTAAAGAATTACAAGATTATGTTACTGTCAATAAACTTGATGAGAAAATGGTTACAGTAAGTAAAGTTATACATCATTTTTATTTTTTATTTTTTTAAAATTGACGTAACAGAAAAGACGTCTAGCGAAAAGAGTTAATTCTTATCATCGATATATATCTTTTCTCAAGCTTTTTATTATTATTGTTCCCTTAGGTTCCTAGTGGAGGATAGGGCTTCAATTGCACGTCTCCACTTACCACTTCCGTCTTCCTTCTGCTGTACTTTTCATCTGCATCATCCATGTTAGTTAGTCCATACTGTTTCAACTCCTCTCTCTTCACACGATCTCCTCCATGTCACCCACCCTTGCACTGACGTCCCACTCACCGCGTGCTTCCCTTTAGGCCTGGTTCCACTCAAGCAATGGCCTGGCGTGCGCGCGATGTCACCCAGCGGCCTGCCTCCTTAGCGAGCGAGTGTCGAATCCATCTTCATCCACTTTCTCCTGCATATTTGTTAGTTGGCGATTGCTTCTTTTTTATTTGTTCTTGTTGGTGATTCTCAAGCTTTACAATCACCATTATATGTATACTGAATTTTCTCAGCAATGAAAGGAATATTTCTAAACATGTGTCATTAGAATTGCAAAATTTTAGATAACCAATTACGTAATTTAAGTTTGATAACATATAGTTATAGTAGTAGTAGCAGTCTACTCATCAAATCACTGAGCCACCTAAATTTCCTATCCATCAGAATGCATCACGTTCACACCATTCCCCGTTGTTTTAATGATCTAATTACGCCACAATGAGTCAATAGTCGGATATTTCGAAGGAAATGTAGGAAGAATATTGTGACGTAGTACTGGAGAGAGCTTCGGGCGGCGGTGAGAGAGAGGGCGGACAATATTAGTCCATATGATATATTATCGATTTTTATATGATTCGAAGATTCTGTACAGTGAGTAAATACGTTGCAGTGAAACTCTCTGAAAATTCTCTATTATGTATAAAGGCGTTTTTCAGAATGGAACTATCACTGTTATTATCCTTAGCAGTAATAATAATAATGATTTACTTTATTCCATAAACAGTACTTGGGGTACAGAATGGAATTTTCAGCACTAATCGCAATATTGCATCTAATTTCTTCGAGTTATAAATAAAATTAATCACACAAAACACTTTCCACATTTACAATAGGGGTGGGTAATGTCAAAAACATGCAGCATATAAAATGGAAATAATAATAATGATAACAGCTAAGGTAATAATAATAACAATAATAATACAAGTGAAAAATTCCGTGGGCTTGTTTCACACAGTATTGTCGTTATATGTGGTATAGAAATCCCAGCATGTTTAAAAATATTGAATATAATGTTCTCTTTACAAAGATTACAGCAGTCATAGAGATAAGTTGGTGTTTGCAATTATGAGAGTAAAACAAAGAAGCAACAGGACCATAAATATAATAGAAATAATAAAAGTAAAACTTGAAGGTATATAAGGATAGATGGTTGGAGGAAATTGTTTATTTACTAGATGAAAGAAGGTTAGGTAATTCTTGTCTGACACTATTTTCACTAGCACATAAAATACGTGCCAAGTATGGTATCATAGAATTTCTATACTTCGACGTGAGAGCATACAGTTTTCTGAAGTGACTTCTTGTTCTATCTGAGAGAGGCAAGGTGAAAGCTGAGGGTAAAGTGGATGCTCCAAGTCAGATAAAATCCCTTTGGCAAATTTATTTCATGAAGTCAAGTGTCTATCGACAACGACGTTAACTATGTGGTCCACTGGGACACCGCTACTCAGTATTATATGCATATGATGATTCGCTACTTCATAGAGCACAGAATTCAAGATACTTCTGGATGTTCTGGTGATCATTTAAAAAGACTGTCAATAATAGTAGCTATCAAGTGATTTCTTTTACTGACCTCACATTCCAGACTGTTGATCTCAAGGAAATCTCAGTAATATCTTTTACGATAATAATATATCGATAGATTTCTACCATATTTTTCAAAAAGTCCACCTTATCTATCGATGATGTCTTCTCTCCTACCTGTGCTTTTAACACTCTCCAAAATATCCCCTCGTAAGGATTCTCTATTCTTATATTACTATGAATAGTGTTAACTCAAGTATTGCTATGCCATTCACAAATACATACGATCATGTTTAACTGAGAATTTGGAGAAAGTTAATCTCAAATATATATGTGAAAATTCTACTAATCATTTCCCTCGTTAACTTTATGTGTTATTGCTTTGACAAATGATAAGCGGTAACTGTAAGTCTTGGTCTTTCATCAATTGTGAAGTATGCAATGTTTGTTACATATAGTCTTGTAGATTTACCACAGAAACACCGGAAGATCTCTCTCTCTTTCTATCATTGTAATTATTGGTAAATTGTTATCAAATAACCTGCGACTAGGAGGCTAGAAAGTTATGTTTCCATTAAACACTGCCATATATCTGGGTTAAACTTTTATCAAACACCTATTTTTACGTTTACTGGGTGTGTATAGTGTTAGCTTTTTTCAAATCTGAGGTCAGCTTGCATATTCCATTACATAATTCTACCGATTTCCGTTCCATTACTTCAAATTAATTGTCTAAAAAACTAGCCTTGGCAGTCGTTGGTCGATAGACTTTTTTATTAAATACTTTGAAAACATTTAGGAATGCCATGTTAGGCAATAAAGACATCTTGAATAAGTTACGCTACTCAGTATCATATTGCATTTGATGCTTCGCTGCTTCATAGAAGATAGAATTCAAGATACTTCTGGATGCTCTGGTGTTCATTTAAAAAAACCATTATTAATTATCTTGTACTTACATCTTTACAGTATGTAGGAAAGCAATTACTATAAATAAACTATCTGTTGTGCGTCGGTGGTATCGTGGTTAGGACTCTCGTCGACCATGCACATGGTCCGGGGTTCGAGCCCTCACCGACGCACACCTGATATCTATGGTCGGCCTGAGAATTTTGGGCTACCGATATCCACGCTGAAAATTCCATACTCGTACCAAAAATACGGTGTGGAATCAAGCTGTAATCAAAAATAAATAAATAAAAATAAAAAAATAAAAGTTTATTGAAACGAATCTAAAGTTTACAGGTTATTGTGAATACATGCTCTGGTTAAATAAAAAACAAAATTAGATCTTTAATAATATTAATAGCTTTATGCTGAAAGATGCCTTTATACATAATACAGAATTTTCAGCGAATTTCACTGCAACGTATTTACTCACTGGACGGGATCTTTGAATCATATGACAGTCAATAATATATCATCAGGGACAACATTGTCCATCCCTCCCCCACCGCCTCCAGAAGCTTACTTCTCAATATTCTTCCTGTATTTCCTTAGAAACATCCGACGAGTGACTCATTATTGCCTAATTATATCGTTGAAACAACGTGGAACGGTATAAACGTGATGCATTCTGATGGATAGGAAATTTAAGTAGCCTAAGGAGTTAAGTAGGCTTTAAACGTTGGTTGCTGGATATAGACTCGATGGTTGAATGGTAAAATAACTCATCCGCTCTTCAAATATGGCAATCCTTACTAGACTTGTACCTTCTGATATATTCATGGTTTCACATTCACAACATTTCAAAAATCAAAGTAAACTGGCTTAAATGGAAGTTCTTCGGTTAACAGCAGTTATCCAGCCAATAACAACACCTTTTATAATCTACTTTTGTAGCCATATTGGATTATTTTGCTTCATAAAGTACATAGTGAAGTGGTATTGCCTATTAGATGATATTTGAGGCACAGTCCATTCCATATAACGGCAAGGAGACACATTTTTGACGAAAACAAAGTCTCCGACATTGTATCACTGTGTGCAAGATTAAATGAGCTAATCTAATACAGAATTATGGGTTATCATGCAATATCCTCAGCTTTACAGGCTAATTCAGTTTGTAAAATGCTACAAAACAATAAGGAAACTTAACTTATGTTTTTTTGATTCACTGCAAATATTAAATCATTTATAAAAGACTGATTAATAAAAAAAGAATATATATTTTTCGATAAATTCATCATCAGCTTCTACATTTTGTGTGACAGTAATAATTAAAGAAATATTGTTATTAACAACAGTAATAATGTTATACATTATATTGAATCAATAGTATCGAGAGATTACATTACTAAAGCATCAGTAAAACAGAGACAATATGCATTAATATAATAACACTAAACTGATTGAATATATCAGACAAATTAAAGGAAGCAAGACAAAGAATTTAAGAATTCATATGTTGCACAGGAGATCAAGGTAGCCATATTGGCTGGCTGAACCTGTTTCTTTTGCTTGTATACCTCAGTTGATTTAGGTGAATTGCAGTGGCCTCGTCTGTTTGCAGTGTTCGGTATATGGAGGTCTTTGGGAATTTATTCTATGTTGGATGGATGGTAGAGAATGATTCTTCAGTGCTTGCTAGCTTTGTCACCATTTTAGATGAGGTTTTCTGATATAGAACTGTTGACGGTTTCGACAACACTTTTATTTAAATGCTAAGGTCGGTTTTTCTGGGGATAAAAAGTAAATTCCAAGAGCAACGTCTCCATAGGTGAAGGTGAGTCGGTAGATACAGTCAGAGGTGGCTAGCCTAGGCCCTTCTTCTTCCAGTTTCGGAATCACAACCAACGAACCGGTTGTGTATGGTATCTACATATATATATGTATATACTTCATAAGATGATATACGATGCTGACTGATATGTATGCTTGCAGACGAATCGTGGTAACCAGTAGTGTTCGCCAGTCAAATTTAGGTTGCGAAATAAACTTTGGATTCCTGCCAACTGCCTTCAACTATCTAATATCATCAAATCAAGTCAAGAGAAGACCTCGAAACGGTTTCTTTTGCAAGCTGCCATGCAATAATATTCATGGTGGCTCGCTTTTTGTGCGTCGGTGGTACAGTGGTTAGGTCCGAAGTTCGATCCCCTGCCGACGCACACTTGATATCTGTGGTTGGCCTACAAAATTTGGGCTACCGATATCACATGCTGAAAATTCCACACTTATACTAAAAATACGGTGTGGAATCAAGCTATAATAAAAAAAATCAACGTACACCATGACGGCGAGCTACCTAGAATTGTGGCCACATTGTAAACCTCACTGAGAGAATTCAGTCTGCACCAAAGAAAGGAATAGACAAGTCGCACTAGTTATTGACTAGTGTCCAATCAAAAAATTCTGGGTTCATTCGACCACTCAGAGAGTTAAATCAGTTAAAACTGCTAGGAATCTCGGCAGGCTGCGAAAAAATGGAAAAAACAAATTCGTTTGTCAACTACAATATTCAGTACAGAAAATCCACGACGTCTCCCCTTGGAAAGCTGAAAAAAACGTAAACTTGCAGTATACATACATACTTGATAACACAAGTGATTTATACTGGAGATTGGCGAATGCGATGAGAGACTAATCGTAGCAAACGTTGGTGCTTTGTTCAGTATTGCTTAATTTGTTTGAGGTGGTAGCTGCTGTTTACTTTTCAATAAACACTATAGCCAAACACTTATTTTTATTAGTTGGATTTCAAAACGTATCAGTAATGAGGTATGATTGCAGGGCTAGTGTGCTTCGACATATATAAGCTCTTATAAAGCCACACAGTGTATTTCATGCTAAGGCATTCACCACCAAAGAACTACTGGAGGTCCCGAATTTTTTGTCTGTAATAAAGACTACACAGTATATACTTAAATGGTTGAATAAAAATGGTAAGTTGACTGATCTCACTGATGTGAATTAATTTGAAATGTGTACGTGCGTGTACTACTTACTAACCAGGTACTCTACCGCAAATGTAATGGGAGAAGACCAGAGACTTGATAACGGAAAGTTTTGAAGCAATTTAATGTACACATAAGGAATTTATGTATACCGCATACTGAAATGTTCATTTGCACAGACCTTCCATATTGTGCTACTTCTGTCTGTCATATTGTATTTGTTTGTCTTCCATTCATGTCTCCTGTGATTTTCATCAATACTGGTTCACTCCCTCTCTTTGATATCAAAGTCATCTCTCTGCTATTTATTATTTCTGTGCCGATGAACGTCTTTTTATACGCTACTGATAAATCTTGTCAGTAGCAGACGCCATGGTAGCAGAAAAGTACCATGCAAACAAACATATGAAATGGTCGATTAAATACATGTTAATTTTATCCATTACTGACTGTATCTACTTAAATTCACGGAAGCAACAATAATTAAAAGGTGGAGTCTTATTTGTTTGTTTGAAAATACTTGATCAATACATTCAATCAATAATAATATCAGTATATATATATATATATATATATATATATATATATATATATTTGTGCAGATGAAAGTCACATACAAATATCATTATTATTAAGCGTCATTCTAAGACATTTATTCACATCACTGTATTACTTATTTGACCCTAAATAGAATTAAATGACCTGTTTTTTAAAGTCTTTACTTCTTAACGTTTTATTCTTTTTATCATCAACTTTTATATAAACTTGTGTGACAAGTAATAAACAATGATTAATTTCTACATTCGTACACTGAAATTGGCAAAAAAGTGAACTACTCTTTAAGACTAATTGATTCTTTTGGTCCTTTTATATGACTTTTCTTTCTCTGAAAGTGATTTCTTTCTTTACTGTTTGGTATCGCAGACGAGACAGAAATGAGGTCTTTGGCAGTAAGTATAGAAGGTCGAATAGTGTTAGTCTGTGAGAGTCATTCTGTACTGTTTTTCCTTTCAATTCACCAGTTAGCTATAAGTAGATCCCAGCTTTGGAGGTCATCTAAAAAATGACAACCCAGTGCTTAATATTCCCAAGTACTGATGAATTATTCAACAGGCTTCTGATTTACGTTTCACTGTACAATAGAGGGGGACATCGATGGCACAGCAGCAGAATGCTCACCGCCGACCACGCATTTGGTCTGGAGTTCGAAACCTGCTCGCCAACGCACTCTTTTACTTCTCTTAGCCAGTAATAAGGCTGGTAAAGGGGGAAGGTTGAATATAAGGCTGACAACCTCATCCCTTAAAAAGTAAACATCACTTTTACCGAAACTTTAAAGCTCTTGATTGAAGCCCTATGTTTCACTGTGGAACGTGAAGGAACAGAATAAATAATAATAAAGTGGAAGTTTCCCATGACTATTTTGGTCTTTGTATTAATTCAGAGATAAAATAATTACATGGTATGTATGCTGCTTAAGCAGAAACTAAACAAGATACTGCAATTAAATTCCTAACACTGATGTTTTTACATTTTATTCCTTTGCATTCCAAGTGGGATACAGGGCTTCAAGTTTTGTGCCTTAAAATTTCAGTAGCGACGGTGCTTAGTTCTTACGGTGTGGCGTTGCTCACCTGACTCTTTATCGGGCTTACTATTAACTCGGTGAGGCTTATGATTCCGTCCACCGGGGATCGAATAACCCCGAAACCACATGAGACTTGGTTGGCGAGTATTCTACCCCGGTGAACTCACATTGTTAACTTAATTCGCTTTTTCTGTATTCTTATGTTGACTCTACTTCTTATAAATATCTAATTTTAGAAATGGCAACAACTGTTTGATCCGAACAAAACTGGAAAGATAACTTTCCCTAAATTCTGCGAAGTCTTAGGTTTGAGTCCAGCACAAGCGTGAGTGATCATTATAATTTTTGCTTTATCATTCCATTTCTTTATTTTATATGTATTTATATGTCACATTTTTGTTGAGATACATTCAATAGCTGACTTTGTATAGTGATTTTAAAAGGGATTAGAAGGAGTTAATGTAGACTGCTGACCAGTGTAGTCATCCAGCGGTCTTTGAAATGTGTAGCATAGCCACTAGTATGTTTCGAAATGGTTTTAGTCAGTTGAATTGCAATGCTCAACTTTTTGTTGAATGCAATATTATGACGACCGAAACCGACTTATGGTAGTCGGAATACAGGAAATCGACCTCTGAGTTATGCTGTGTAGCTGACCTAAACTTCCCTGAGTCGCCTACAATCACATAATGTTCCAACGTAAGCAAAAATATGGTTGACTGCAGTAAAAACTGTGGTTCTATTCAACACTCACAGTTTTCTCAGCAGTACTATTGTGCAGCAGTGATACAGATCAGATTAGTTTCTGGTACAAAATAAGTATTGTAGAACAAAATTATTATTATACATTATCATTCTCTTGGGTTCCCAGTGGAACATAGGGCGTGAACAACACATCTCCATTTTCTTCTATTTTCTGCCATCCTCTTCAGCTGGGTCCACGATTGTCCGTAATCTGTCATCTCTTCCTCACACGGTTTCCTCCATGTACCCTTAGGACGACCCACTCATCACTTCCCATTTGGATTCCACTTGAGCGATGGCCTGCATTGAGCGCGATGTCATTCGACGGTTTCGTCAATGTATGCCCGATTCCTCTTCACTTTATCCTACATGATTGTTGAGCGGTAAACCAAAGTTCAACTATAAGAAGTACTTTAGAATCAAGTAGAATGTTCCCTGCAAGGTGGGATCAAAACTCTGTCCACAAGAATCGCACGCCAATAATTTCCCATAACAGTCAACAGTCAGAATCACCTTCACTCACTCAAACAAAAACACATCGTAAAACAACGCATTATGAGTGTATCTCACGACCCCCACAAAAAGAGGTATTTTATGGTTGGAGGCGATCAGAAGGAAGCCTTGGATCTAGGTTTTGTGCTGGTTGTCCGTCATCGGGAAGACATATCTGCAACCTTAAGGGAACTCATGTCCCGCCTTAGGTTCAATGCTATATCACCCATTGTTGCAGTCAAAGGCGTTATCACTGAGCTATGCGGCCTCGCGACTGTCCTGTTTGAAAAGGATCCCAAAACTTGTTTTAATCAGTTCATTTTTGAACTTGTGGTCAATAAGAAATCTCTTTTTTCGTTTGAGGAAGGACACAATCACACCTCATGTATTTCTAAGTCATCTAAATAATGTTTCGCATATAAACATGCTAATCAGATATCTGCAAGGCATTAAGTAATATGCTTATTGGCTTGTTAATTTTTAAAAATCAATTTTATTGGTGTTAATTGCAGCATGTAAAAGCAAGAGTAATAACTACATGAGGTCAGTCGAGAGCTTGAATAGCTCAGTGGTAACGTCTCTGACTCCAGCACTGGGTGACGTGAGTTCGGATCTCAGAAGGGACATGACTTCCTTCAAGGTTGCAAATACGTCTTGCTGATGAGTGCCAACTAGCACGAAACCTAGGTCCGAGGCTTCCTGTGGCCGACTGCCTCCAATTATCTAATATCCTCAGGAGTAATAACTCTGTAATGAGATAGATTTCTCCAGATATGCAACAGCCAGTATCCGGAAACAATAATGAACTGAAAGTCTTCTAAATAAAGCAAGAAGAATAAATTTTATCACAATAAAATGGCACCATCATTTATTTCGTTAGCTTCTCATCAGTTGTACACTGCTTAGAGAAAGGAATTAAGTTTAGGTACAGAACAATTTTAGCATACTTGCAAGCGATACAGGATATAAGTTGACAGGAGGCACTAAACTTAATAAACAGTCCTCAGAAAATTACACTTTAATAGTTTATATCCAGAGAATTCAAATTGAAACAAAAATAAATACTTGCACAAAATGGCGAAGGAGTTGCGTAATTAAGACAAGAGGTAAATAAGATGATGGGTAACGTTATGATGAGTTTAATTGAAATGAATGAGAAGAGAAGCAGGCCAAGTTAAACGATATAAAAGGGAAGGGAAGTTAAGGCTAAAGACTAAGTAAAGAAATGAAAGAGGGAGAGAGCAAAGATATACAGTTACCAGGGTAAGGAAAGACAAACTGATAACTGTTTGTTTCTGAACGCATGAATCAGGTCTCAGCTGTTCTGGTAAACTTGAGGAGAGTTGAACTATTCTGTCTATTAAATCTTCTAAAGAATTCCATGATTTCCACCCCATGACCCGTATGCAGCTGATGAGATGCCAACGAAATAAATGATGGTACCATCTTATTGTGAATAAACTGTTGTTCTTGCTTTATTCACATTCATAAAGGAGAATAAGCGTGAAAGTCATGTGTTGTGTTTTACGAATGAATACTAATGAATTAATTTTTATTGAATTTATGAGATGAGAAGAGACCTTTAGTTCTCTCATCCCTCAATTCAACAATATTCTAAAAGCATTCAGTCGCATCACTATCATTAATATTCCCTAGGGTTGCGAATGGAATATAGGGCTTCAGCAGAACGTTTCCATTCCATCCTGTTCTCTGCAGTCTACTTGATTTGGCTCCACGATTACCCCTAGTCTCTCATCTCCTGCTCACCTGATCTCCTCCATGTCACTTTTGGAGTTATATTCGTCTTGTTGTTCCCCTGTTTACTTTCAATAGAGAATCTGTCTGGTATGATATGTCACTGAACTGTCTGCTTAGTGTGTTCCCTATCCATCTCCATTTTCTCTCACTTATATTTTTTGAGAAACAGGTTCTTGGTTGGCTTACTTCCAACCTGTAAGTTTTATTTATCTAAGAGTCACTGCCATCTTTAATTTCTCCCTTCACTTTATCAAACCTTTTTCTGTGTTTACTGTTTCTCTTTTCCCATAGAGTTGCAATGAAAGCACAACAACAACAGGCGGCAGGTCTTAAACTCCACCCTGATGTCATTGTCATCTATGAACAACTTCCATTGGATAAACAAGTAGAAATCAGTAATAAAACACGTGAATTGAATGCCACCTCGCCTAGGAAACTTGACGAAAAAGAACAAGCAGTCAAATTGAAAGAATGGTTAGACAAAACCTATGGTAAAGCCTGGCATGTTATCATTGTCAAAGGTTCATTTTGGAGTAGCTATTCCCACAGCGCCAATAAGTGTTTCATGTATCGTATAGGGGAATTTTCTTATTTAGTATGGAGGACACCTGATGAAGAACTCAACAGCAGTGATTAAGATGTCTTTTATTTTTCAACGCATATAAAAAATAAAGACAAGGCCATAAAAAACTATTTATTACTCTGTTAGCTACTGTAACACAAACAAATTTCTATCTGCTTACTTCAAAAGAAAATCAAGTTGGTTTTTTTTATAAAAAAAATCTTGTTTGAATTCCCTCCAATTTTATAGACAAATTTAAACAAACAGAGTAATGGTAATTAGTTATTGATTGCCAAACAACTGAATAAATTCTTTTAATAAAAATTCAATACTACTTATTTTTTGTTCTTGTGTTCACTTAAGTTACGTTCGACTAGGTGTATCGCTATTATGAAGGTGGGACGCATCATATTTATATATTTTCAGCCATATTAAATTCCCTCTAGATCAGAGGACGAAAAGTTGTCCTGATTGGTTAGAAATTGGCCCAAGGTTGAAAAATTTGTCCTATGAGGTTAATTAATGTTCACAACGTAAACTGAGTCCAGATTTGAGGAATATGCGCTTCTACCTCTACAGCCAGTGACTAACTTAAAATACTGATTTCACTTTCGGCAGCTTTCTATCAATCTTCATTACGTCACACTACCACTATTATTACAGTAATATTAATAATAACATGCATTACAGACATTACAGACAACTATGGCAAAAACAGCAATAAGGAATCTAAGTCATCATTGCCACTTCCATACTAAGAAGGAAAGAAAGAATTCTTAATGATACAGGAATAAAAGTAGTATTCAAACCTCGTACAAACTTACTTAGAAACAAGCTTTGACAATTAAAGGATCCTGCGCAGCCTATTAAACAAAACAATCTAGTTTATCTAATACTCTGCAATGATCATTAGGTAGAAAACATACGTCAAAGAAGCAGAACGCGATCAGTCAGACTAGCTGAGCACAAAACCCCAGTAAAATCTAGATTGGTTGACCCGAACAATATAATAATAATAATTTACTTTATTCTAAAAACAGTACTTATAATACAGAATCGAATTCTCAGCATTTGTCACAATATTGCATCTGATTTACTTAAAATACAAATAAAATTGAAATTAAACCAAAAGTAACCAGAGGAATTTGTCCACGTTTACGATATGAAGTCAAAATTATTCTAAGCACGGATTCAGATCATTAAATATAATAATAATAATAACAAGAATAATAACAGTGAGTTTGTTTCAAACAGTATTGTCGATTCAATTTGAAAATTTTAGCATGTTACTATAGAGTATTGAATCTAATGTTCTGTTGATGGAGTATAGTGAGAGGAAGTACAAGATTAACAGTGGTAACACAGCTTAAACGATGTTCACACTTATGAAAAATAAATAAATAAAAACAAAAAAATTGAGAGGATTATGAATATAAGAAATACAATAGCAATAAAGTTTGATGCTGTAAGGGTGGAGGAAATGGTTTATTTAGTAGTGCAAAGAAGGTTAGTTAGTGTTCATGCCTAACACTATTTTCATCACATAAAGTACGTGCCAAATATGGTTGGCATCGTGGAATTTTTAAACTTAGACGTAACGTACGTAAATTCTTCTAAAAAGACTCCTTGTTTTACCTGAGGAGACACAAGGTTGGAGCTGCGGGTAGAGTGGGTGCTCAGAGTCTGAAAAAATTCCTTTAGCAAATTTGTTACATGAAATCAAGTGCCTATCAGTGAAGGTGTCAACGATATGGCCCAATTGGATATCACTCGTCCTACTGACAGTCTTCAAAGTTCTATGAAGTATGGCGTAGTCTTTTTTAAGCAATTCAGGAAAGAATAAGTAGGGGTGAACAGTAAAGAAGAATAGGTAAAATAAATACGCGAGTTGACAAACTGTAAGAGGAGGGTTTGGTTGAATTATGCCTGAGTGCCTCAACTTCTTAATGTAAAAAGTCAGATGAAATATTCTGGAGAATAGCTCAGCCATAGCACTAAGTGAAATTACACACAAACATACAATAGGATGTAATAAGATGATAGTTCAGAGATCTAATATAACAAGGTAGGGGGAGGGAGGTATTCATAGTGAAAGCTTTAGGCATCGAATCAAATGGAAATAAGTGCACTGGAAATGATCCAGCGCCTGTCCAGCCTGACTTCTCGAAAATTCTACTACTCCCAAGAAAACGAAAAAAGGGAAGGAATACAGGAAACTATGAAAAAAGAAAGTTCCGAAGTTGTGTAGTCACACCCTGATGATATGATTATGAAGAATAAATTGTGTTCGAAAGTGGGTCACCCTGTGAATACTGTTCCAATGTGTGTGTGTGTGCGATACATCCAATAAACAAATTAGTGTGGAGTTAGATACTATTGAAGTACCCAGCGACAATAAATTCTGAAACGTATTCTCTTGAGCCAGTTAACAAACCAAACATGCCGAGTAGTTAGTTTACCCACTAGATGAGTAAAAATAAAAGAAAACAAAGTGGATATTTTTAAGTTGTTTCATATTACTTTTCTCCTACTATTTGAAAGAAACTCAAGATTGAAAAACAATTCACTATTTTCCCAAGTTGTAATTTTCGCGGAACTGAATGATTTTGCCATCAATTTCATCAAGAAACAGTATCAAAAAGACAGACCACAAAAGCTATTGGATCACAGAAGAGCTGTTTCATCCCAGTGTGCCACTCTTCATCAAGGCGCCCCTATAACCTTATGTTTAACATTCAGCTACTGGGTCTAAATCAAGTTATTTACTAGGAATAACGCTACCGTAGCTTCCAATTTAATCTGTGAGTAGCTAGACTCAAAAACTGACTAGAATGAGCCACTGTAGAAACTTTTCACTCGAACTGCAGCAAAAGATTCTTCTTGAATTTGGTTACCAGTAAATAATGAGCAGAAGTATGTGAAATTCGTCGTTTAAGGTATTGAGGAACGCAATTTTCAGCAAAGAGACTCTGTTCAACGGATTTATTATCAGGCTCTATACTCGTATAAACAAGACTTCTTAAGAAATTATATCCTGTAGAGAAATTTAAACAAAGGTGTGAATACACAAAGCAATAATAGTAGTAGTATGAAATACAATTACAATATTTATGATTATAATTAGAGTTAAACATCGAGTGGTGAAACAAATAATGTAATATATGGAATATGAATTTTTGGTTTATTGGATGTAAAGATGTTGGAATTATCGGATTAGTAGGCAAATAAAAACCCAATATAACCTGAAATGAAATTTAATATTATAGAATTCAACACTGTAAAAACAATTTTTCTGATTTAGAAAGACAAGTGGGACAAATGAAATAATACAGGGGACAATTCAAATAAAGTAAAGTAATAGTAACAATCAAAATAATAATCGTTGTAATAAGGGGAAGGTATTTAGATTAACTAAATCAATAAAATGAAAATTAAATAAGCAAATGTTTTTCCCTCTATGTGGAAGGTAGAAATAGGGATTGAATATAGTTCTTTTGTGCACAAAGATTTAGCCTTAATTCATGAATGGTCAAGGCCTCAGATGTCTTAAGATAAGATAAGATAAGCTTTATTCCAAAACAGTACTTGTGATACAGAATGGAATTCTCAGCATTTTACTACAATATTGCATCCAGTTAGTACATTAACAATAAATAAAGTTCTACAAAGATTAAGGTTATCTCAGTTAGTTTTGACAACAACATATTAGCATGTCGGTAGCAAAGCCAAAATTAAACAGAGTGTTGAAGGTGTTAGAGAAGTAGATGTTAAGAACGAAGAAAACGAGACAAGTTAACATGAGCTCGATAAATGATCGTAACATAATGGTCAGGGTTGGTCGAGTGACAGGAGTCGATCAGGTGTTCGAGAATAGAGCTTCGTACACACTTACTTTCTCCCTTGTAAAACCATTCAGGAATATGTTCTCGTATCCGTGTGGAAAGTGTCCTCTGGCTACAGTTAATGTATCTTGGTCCACAGAAGCAGGTGAATTGATAGATGCACATGGACGAGGCTAGATGACGTAGCTTATTGTTTACACAGACGGAGAACAACCTACGTCTGATGAAGGTTATTTGTAGTTTTGGTGCAAAGAACGTCTTACTGACTGATTTAGAGAGACGAGTTTTAAGCATATCTGAAGTCAGACCAACTCTGAGTTCCAAATTCATGAAGGTTTGATCAATAATATATATCCAGTACTCAAAGCGTTTGCATTGATTCACCAATTGAATGATGATGATTTTTTTATGAAGTCAAGCCTGAAGTGATCTGTTTTACATTTTAATTTTAGTTTATTTTGACCACTTCATCTTTAATTACGTGTTATCCTTGTAAAATTAATTTATTCTAGCCATTTCTACCTTTTAATAGTGTGTATTGATTTTCTCCGTTAATTATCAAACCATTGACATTTTGACACTGACTATTTATTGTTAACAAACATATCAGTGCCACTTGATTGGTAAACTGTTGTGTATTGTAATTGAAATGCTATATATATTAGAGTAGAGCCAGAGTGAGATGAGGATCTAATTGAAAAGTGGATATTTCTTCGCTCAATCTTTCTGTTTTCTAAATGTCTAAATGGGGATCTTTTCTACATTTTTATTTGCCTACTAATCCGATAATTCCAACATCTTTACATCCAATAAACCAAAAATTCATATTCCATATATTACATTATTTGTTTCACCACTCGATGTTTAACTCTAATTATAATCATAAATATTGTAATTGTATTTCATACTACTACTATTATTGCTTTGTGTATTCACACCTTTGTTTAAATTTCTCTACAGGATATAATTTCTTAAGAAGTCTTGTTTATACGAGTATAGAGCCTGATAATAAATCCGTTGAACAGAGTCTCTTTGCTGAAAATTGCGTTCCTCAATACCTTAAACGACGAATTTCACATACTTCTGCTCATTATTTACTGGTAACCAAATTCAAGAAGAATCTTTTGCTGCAGTTCGAGTGAAAAGTTTCTACAGTGGCTCATTCTAGTCAGTTTTTGAGTCTAGCTACTCACAGATTAAATTGGAAGCTACGGTAGCGTTATTCCTAGTAAA